TTTTTAAATTCAATTTAAATCAGCCTCAACCTCTGTCTTATCTAGTAAAATGTGTTCCCTTTCTATAACATCTTTTAAATCCAGTTTTATGATAGCAGACAATCTTAAGAGTAACTTCTGAGTGCATTGTTTCCATATATCCCTAAATTCATTCAAAATTATATTCTGCCCTATTCTATATTAATGGGTCTCTTCTCCTTTACTTAATCTTTATTTCTGACTGTTCCCACTAGTGTACAACCTTCAAAGTCCAATCTTATCTGGGTTTTTATCCCCTAATCAACAGCATTTTCTCACAGGAAAATACAATTTCAAAATCTTTATTTATTTTTTCAATAGAATTCTAAACTATCACTTTTCCTACTGGAAGAATTATTTTAATTTTTCAAAATCATATTTCAGATCCATCCCCATAGTTTGTATATAGCTTTCCAAAGTCAGCACTATAATCACCTTTTCTCTGTTTATTCAAAATAAAAAATTTTAAGTCCATGAACTTGCATAAAACTTCTTTCACTAAAAAAGAGACTCACAGAATGTAATGCAGTTTGCCATTTGGAAGGTTCCTAACAACCAAAAACCAGTTAGCAAGCAATTTGCAGAAGTTATTAAGAAAGGAAGTATGTGAATCTTGTAGCCATAAAAGCACCAGATGGAACAAGGAACAAGATGGTGATCCCTCAGCTCCCAGACCCTTAAACCACTACATTGCAGTATTTTCCCAGGGAGCTACTGCATGGAATGCATGTGGGCCATCCTGAGTCCTTTCTTGTCCAGAGGGGAATTCTCAGAAGCCATTCACTGGCTCTTCATTCCGCAGTGGTCATCAGCACTGCTCTCGGTGAATTGTCTTTAGTTCACGATTGCTTCCCTGGCAATCTCCACTGCATTTTTTTTTTGAGGAATTGTTCTATTAAGTCCTGTTCATGAGAAATGGTTAAGTAGGTTTTCTTCTATTGGATAAATGTGGAAAATTACGTATTAAAAAACTGAGAAAATAATGAATTAAATTATATCCTTCTCTCCCTCATAATGTTTATTAAGATAACTGGTTCCATACTAATAGAAGCAGATCAGAGGCAGGGACATTAAGCAAGATCATTAGGAGGGATGGAAGTTAAACCTTCATTTCAAGCTTTGGATGTATGTGGCAAACAGGTGTTTGTTTTACTTCTGCATCTATGAATAGCATGAGAAATCACCCTGGACTATTTTTGTGTTCTTCTAAAGGTTTCCATAAGGCTCAGGGAACCGATGTCTCCAAGAGAGTGGTAGATCTGACAGAATGTCACACAAAAATAGGTCAAAACCTGTTCTCTTTCATTCCAGAGAACAGGACAGAGAACAATTGTTTTAAGATACAGGAAGGCACATTCTATTTGAATTTTAGAGGTAAACAAAAAAAAAAAAACCCCAAGTAAGAGCAAGAGACATTGCACATTTCTGAGAGGTTCATTGGACTCAATGATCTCTTCCAATTCTATGATTCTGTGGGAAGCCCCACCCCACCTCAGAAGAATGAAATATTTTGGGAAATATTTAAAAAGGCAGAATATTATATTTCCCTAAAGGAGAAATGGAAAAAATATATGTGTTAGAACCAGAAAGCACCCCCTCCCAAGTCTTTCTTATTGGCCCACAGCAGATGCCAGCACTTAAGAGATAAAAAGCTTATTGAAAGAGAAAGACAAGTATCTAGACAGCTCTATTCATAAGCAAAGCAAATATTGCAGGTAGAACTCCTTTCAAGGCAGGCTATTTCAAAACCCCTTGGCAGAATGGTAGGATTAGAAAGCAGGCTCTCACCCAACCTCCAACACAGGACAAAAGCCATTAGCCAAAATAGGAATTGCCCAACACCCTTTCAGAACACAAGCCCCTTCATTGCACCACTCTCAGAGCAGTCCAAACTTCAAAGTCACAGAAACCTGGGAGCTCAGATAAACAATAAGCCAGAGGTTGACCAGATTAGCTCAGACAAGCACCTAGGATTTGCATTCCCTCTTTTGCCTATAGAGCCAGCTATGACCCCCTACATAACCCCTACATGATCCCATAGGAATCTGACAACAGCCAATAGAATATTAAAGGACATGTTCTTGCACAGGAACAGGAAGCTCAAATACAAAGCCCCACAAGATATAAAATCCACCCACTCTCAACTCCATTTTGTGAGCTGCCCCAGAACCCTGGTGGTTCTGTTCACTAATAAATGGACTTCCTTTTCAATCAGCCTCCAGCCTCCATTTTGTTTCCAGCATCTTTCTCCTGGATTGGAACTGAACTAGATGGATTTTCCTTCCAACAATTCCTTAATTTTATAATGGGGATATGATATGTAGTGGTACTGATCACTAGACAGTGCGATGAGCATCTTTCTGAGCACTTTAATTACAGTTAAATGCCAACTGTAAGTTTGACTTGGCTAGAATTCATAGTGCTGTCCTGGAACATTGTGGAATTTGATAGGAAATCTATTGGTCGCGCCTAAAAGATTTCTAGATCTGGTTTTGTGAATTATGCCACTTAAAACGGCAATTTCGATGTAAATTGTATGACTTGGTCTGGTTCTTTTTTATTTATTAGAATTATTTCCTGCCTCAAAGCAACACATATTACATTCCTGCACCAAATTTCTTTATAACAACAATCCTGTGAGGTGGGTTGGGATGAAAAGAATAGCCCAAAGTTACCAAATGAACTTCTACGGCTGAAAGAGACTTTTACCCAACCCACTCCGATGTCTATTGCATCTCATTGGCTTCAAACAAATTCCCATCGTCCCCCAAACTAAGTCTCTTTTTTTGACATTTTGGACTACAATTCCCACTGCTGCAGCCAAGTCCAGTTAGGGAATACTGGACACACATGGTGTATCTAAATGCACACCTGATTTTTAATAAAAGAAGTGTGAGAATAAAAATATCCCTCATTTGCCTCTGCACAATTCTCCTCCTCAATAACCGTTCCACTGAGTTCAATGGTGTGTATTCCTTTTTAGAAGATATATGATGCAAGTAGTCCTTGATTTACAACAGTTCATATAGTGACCATTAAAAATTACAATGGTGCTGGAAAAAAAGTGACTTATGACCATTTTTCACAGTTACAACTATTGCAGCATCCCCATGCTCACGTGATCAAAATTCAGATGCTTGGTGGCTGGTTCATATTTATGACGGTCACAGTGTCCCGGGGTCATGTGATCACATTTCCAACAAGCAAAGTCAATGGAGAAGCCAGATTCATTTA